CCACAACGCCCGGCTATTTTTTGGTTGCAGCCATTATTGTTGTTTGGCGGGCCCAGGCTGGATTTGAGCCCACCACCTTAGGTGTATGTGGCTGGCACCTTAGCCACTTGAGCCACAGGCACCGAGCCAGGATACCTTTTTTAATAAATGGTGGTGGGAAAACTGGATTGCCATATGAAGAAGAAAGAAACTGAACCTCTAGTTCTCACCATACACAAAATTAACTCAAGATGGATCAGAGAATTGAATGTAAGACCTGAAACTATAAAAATATAAGAACATTTAGGAAAACTCTTCTGAACACTTAGGCAAAGAATTCATGATGAAGACCTCATAAGTGCAGGTGACAAAACAAAGACAAATTGTACTTAAAGTATAATTCTGTGCACCACAAAATTATCAACAGAGTGAACAGATAACCTCTGGAATGGGAAAAAATATTTGCAAACTACATATCTAACAAAGGATTAATATCTAGAATCTACAAGGACCTCAAATAAATTTACAAGCAAATAACCCTATTAAAAAGTAGAGAAAGGATTAAAACAGATTTTTTTCAAAAGAAGATATACAAATGGCAAAAAATATGTAAAAATGTTCAACATTACTCATCATCAGGGAAATGCAAATTACAACACAATGGAGACCCCCCTTCTCCTCTCAAAATGGTTATTAAAAAGTCAAAAAACAATAGATGCTGGTATGGATACAGTGAAAAGGGATTGCTTATACACTCTGGGAATGAAAATTAGAACAACCTCTATGGAGATCAGAATGGAGATTCCTCAAACAGCTAAAAGCAGAGCTACCATTTTGATCCAGCACTCCAACTACTGGGTATCCACCCAAAAGAAAATAAGTCACTGTATCAAAAAGACATCTTCACCTAAATGTTTATCCCAGCACAATTTACAACTGCAAAGATGCAGAACTAACCTAAGTGGATAAAGAAAATGTAGTATATGTATGTATACATCATACACACACACACACACACACACCATCAAGTACTACCATGTTTCCCTGAAAATAAGACACTGTCTTATAGTTATTTTTTCTCAAGAAGACACACTAGGGCTTATTTTCAGGGGATGTCTTATTTTTATTAAGTATATACAACAATCTACATTTATTCAAATACAGTTAAGTCATTTTCTTCTGGAACCTGATAGGGAGCCCACCTTGTTGGTGGGGCTGGTGCCAGTGAGGCATGAACTCCGTTCCCCTAGCCGTTCGCATGAGCAATAGGATGCCTGCCACCGCGGCTACCACATGCTGCAAGTGTGAACAGCTGGGAGAAAGGCGGTGTGGCAGAGAAAAGGTATTCCAGTCTTCCTTACCGGTCCATGCCAAAATACATGCATGGTATATCTGCATAGCCACGCCCATCACTAGGTCTTATTATGGGATAGGGCTTATATTTAACAAATGCATAGAAATCTTGCTAGGGCTTATTTTGGGGGTAGGTCTTATTTTCAGGGTAACACGGTACTCAGCTATTAGAAGAAGTGAAATAATGTCTTTTCCAGTAACTGGGATGGAACTGGAGACCATTATCCTAAGTGAAATATCTCAGGAACAGAAAAACAAACAGCACGTTCTTACTTATAAATGGGAGCTAAACAATGGGTATATATATTCACACAAAAGGAAATTATACCATCAGAGACTAACAAGCCAAGGAGGGTGCAAGGAGAGGGGAATTAGGCATAATATCCTTGCACTTTGGCAACATTATTAAGTAAAATAAAGGTTACTTGATTGCAAGCACTGCAATACCTCCACGGGGGATCTCATAAACCAGATGGCTAGCAAGTGACTACCAGGCAAGTGGCCTATAGAGGTGAACACCCTGCCAAAAGGGATAATTCGTGTTGGGGCAAGATAGGGTAGGCCAAGACAAGATTTCCTTATGCTACTCAGAACACTATCAAATTAAAACTTATGAATTATTTCTAGGATTATCCATTTAATATTTTTATTTTTATGGATTTATTTATTTTTGAGACAGAGTCTCACTCTCACCCTTGGTAGAGTGTCGTACTGCCACAGCTCACGGCAACCTCAAACTCTTGAGCTTAAGAGATTCTCTTGCCTCAGCCTCCATAGTAGCTGGGACTATAGGCCTCCGCCACAACGCCCAGCTTTTTTTTAAATTGTAGTTATCACTACTGTTTAGCTGGCCCAGGCCGGTTCGAACCTGCCAGGCCCAACCCTGCATGTGGTTGGTGCCCTAACCACTGAAATACCGGAGTCCAGCCCATTTAATATTTTTAGACCACAGTTGGCCACAAAAAGTATGCATGTAGGGGTTGTGAAAATTCACTGAACTATAGGTGTAGGATCTGTGCATGTTATTATTATTGTCATTATTTTTTGAGACAGAGTCTCACTATGTTGCCCTGGATAAAGTAATGTAGAGTCACAGCTCACAGCAACCTCCAACTCCTGGGCTTAAGAGATTCTCTTGCTGGCTCAGTACCTGCGGCTAAGGCGCCGGCCACATACACCTAAGGTGGCGGGTTCGAATCCAGCCAGGACCTGCCAAACAACAATGATGGCTGCAACCAAAAAATAGCTGGGCGTTGTGGCGG